GCTGTTTCTGTCAAGCCGGGGGTCGGATTGTTGATCGGAGGTGCGGATGTGCTGCCCGTGTGGGGGGGATGGATTGGCTGAGACGTGGGGGGGGTTCCGATTCATTGGCTGTTCATATGGGCATACAGACAATTGTTTACTCAGGTCGTGTCTCATGGCCCCCGGGTAGGAAGACGATCGATCCCGTTCCCTTGGCTTTTCCATATCTCATTTTCATTTTGTTGTTGCTTCGTTGCGCCTTTTTCTAGTTTTTGTGAATTTTGTGGATTTAGTTATTTTTATATTCTTAGATTGGTATGCATGATTTTCTCTTGCGCTGGCTTGGGGTTTTCGCAGGTTTCCCGGGGGAAGGGGAAGATGGCCTAGTGGCACTGGAGGTGGGAACGAAGGTGAGAAGGTGGGGGGTACGTGCCTGTTCTTCCTCGTCTCATTGGTCCTTCTTCGCTGTTCCTCTTCTCCGTTCTGTCTTTGGCCCTCCGTGGGTTGTTCCAATGGTCCGCTTTTGTCCTCCCTTCTTTCTTTTTTGGTCCTTTCCTTCTCGGTTTTTACGTTGGTCTACCTTGCTCTCCCCTCCCCTTCCTCTCTTCCTCTATCCTTACTCCCTTCCCCTCACTGTTTCTTCTGATCATCTCTTGCCTTTGCTATTGTTACTTCTCTCCGCGACTTCCACTCATACTATGGCTATAGCATTCTTCCCTTTCTTTCTCCGTCTCGCCATTTTGCTCACCGTTGTCCTTACCTTCCTTTCCCTCCCCGCTCCTTCCAATCCTCCTTTACCTTAGCTCTCGTTACTTTTCTCGTGACTTCCAGATTCGCAGCTTGTCGGTTCATTTTTTTATTTTTATTTTTCTCTGGTCATGGGGTCCTGCCCATCCCTGAACTGCCACCTGTACTTCTCGTCGCTCTCCTTTGTTCATCTTAGTCTGATTGATTGCAGCGGTCCTTTTCCTTTTCACTCGCACTTCCTTCAATTTGCTCTTCCACTCAGCTTCCTTGCCGCTGCTTCCGTTTGCTTCTTTCGTGCACTTTTGTCTCATGGTTCGTCATCTAGGGGGCCCTCTCCGTTGTTCTCCACTCGTTATGGTGTCTCTCCCATCGCCGCGCTTTTCTGTCGCTCCGCTACGAGCGGTGGCTATGGAGTTTTCACAGGAGCCCGGGATCTCGGCTCTGCGGGTTTGTACCCGCAGCCGCCTTCTGCCCCTGCTTAGTGCTTCACCACGACAGCCGGTGACGTGGACGGCGCTAGTGTGGTGGCGCCTGCTCTAACGGAGCCCCGCCAACACCTTACCCTCCACCGATGATCGGCCAATTGATCAACAGAAAGAGATCGACCTACACATTAGCTTAAGTTGCTTTGTTGTTTCTTTTTACCAGTTATGTGCATAAAGTTACAGCAAGCTGCAGTGCCCTCCTGCCCGAATTGAATTTTGCAAGGTAGAGGTGCACAGCAGTTTGAGGAGCTTGCCTACCTGAAAACAAACCAACTCTACTCTACTCTACGATACTCTGTGACACTCTATGACACTCTACTCTACTCTACTCCACCCTACAATACGACACTCTACTCTACTCTACGACACTTTACTCTACTATACTACACTCTTCTCTACTCTACTCTACTCTACTCTACTCTACTCTACTCTACTCTACTCTACTCTACTACACTCTACTATACTCTACTCGACGACATTCTACTCTACACTACTCTACTCTACTGTACTCTACTCGACGACATTCTACTTTACTCTACTCTACTCAACGGCATTCTACTCTACTCTACTCTACTACACTCTACGACACTCTCTACAACACTACTCCACAACACTCTATGACACTCTACTCTACTTTATGATGACATTCTACTCTACTCTACTCTACTCTACTCTACGACACTCTCTACAACACTACTCTACTTTACTCTATGACACTTTATGTGAGATGACACGAATTCGCACACTGGATGCCAAAGAGTAGAAAATCAGATAGTGTCGCTTATCACTTCCAGCAAATTATCACAAGAGCAATAAGAGTTCAAGTCACCAACACTTATCAATGCATACAAAGGTAACCAGTAACTGGTGTCATCTCTCAGGTAAGTGACTCTTTCCAGCTCTTCTTCTCTCTCTCTCTCATTGGTCTTCTCCCTAGCTATGTCCTCACTGTGTCTTCTCTCCCTACATGCATGCACACTCACTTACTACTATTCAAGGATCTATTCTGGATACATCCACTGCCAGTCCTACTAACTACCACTACTAGCACTACCACTGTGCATTGGCGCAGCTATGGCTGCCTTCTCCCTGCCAGCGCTAACTCTCCCTCTCTCTCTCTCTCACTTAGCGCAACACCCTGGCTCAGCGCTCTGCTCTTCCCAATAGCGCACAAGTGCACCAACACTTCCACTCTTCATCCGAATTAGCAATCTGCCACATGAGGAGGCTGGCCACTCCTTATGTTGTCTTGGACTGAGCTTCAACTCGTCCCAGCCTCTGTTTCTTGGGGCTTGACTCGGTTCTGGTCCCACATCCCCACAGCCTGTTTGCTTCAGAATGTCAGGCCTGGTACTATTCCCAAATTTTCATTGGTGTGCTGCTGCTTGGGCCTTTGAGCCACGACTTTTCGATTGTGGCACACAACTTTTGACTGGGGTTTGTGACTCCTGCCTCTGGGACACGACTTTTGCTTGTGGAGTGTCCTTCGCCCGTGGGTCATGACTTTCCAATACGACTTTTCATTATGAGACATGATTTTTGCCCCTGGGATGTGACTGTTAGCCGGGTGCCTGTGGGACTTTGACCGCTAAGGTCCCCGGCTGTGACTTTTCTGAAACTGACCGTCTTGGCCTTTCTCGGCCCAGGCCTCTGACCCTGAGATTTGGATTTGGGGTCCGGATCGTGGAAGGCCTTTCACTACTCTACTCTACTCTACGACACTCTCCTCCTCTCTATGGACTTCCTTTACCATTTCGGTAGTTTTGGTTGTGGGCGTAGCCCGCACCGCCCGCACCACGGGCGCTAAGCTATTCGTCAATTAAACTCAGACTTCGTAGCCAGTTTTAGGCTATTCTTTATTACCCTGTGATTCGTTTTTTTTTTTTTTTAATTTGTCTCAGTTTATGCGAGTGGTCCTTGTCAGGTTGCCTAAAACATTTCTTATTTCTGTGGGCATGGCCCGCACCGCCTGCACCGTGGGCTCTCAGCTAGTTATTATTAAAGAGTTAGCATTCTTAGTGCGGAGGCTGTGTTTTAAACCACCAGTACCTTTCCCAGCTATTGATGCCGACCCTAAAATCGCCCTGCGCGCCAAAGAAAAATGAACCGGCGTGGGCCTCATTTTGGCTGCGGCCGCCAGCCATTTTGGTTGGTACCCAAATCCCCAAAAGATGTGATGAGTAAAACACATCCAGATTCAGGTGCTTAATCCAATCCTCTTTGCTAGTGGGACCTCCCGCCACCAGGAGGAAATGCTATGGGTCCCAGACTAGCTAAGTGTACAGTCTCCTCTCTATTGTGGAGTGCAACAATTTGGCTAACAGGAATAACTAACATCAGGGGGGATGACGACATTACAAAAAGGGGAGGGTTAAGTTGCAGATGGGCAGAAAATACTGCCACCCTTCCACTTTCAGCGCAAATCTCTCCCCTCATGATGGCTGTGACTGTGACAAAGGCGAAACATGTAGGGAGTTATCGCCGCTATGCTTCTGAGCTTACTTGATAATCGAATCGAAGCTTTTTTGCACTACTTCGTGTCTATCGGCTTCCATTCTCTCTCTCTCTCTCTCTCTCTCTCTCTCTCTCTCTCTCTCTCTCTCTCTCTCTCTCTCTCTCTCTGTGTGTGTGTGTGTGTGTGTGTGT